TATACCAATTTTGTCTTCTATCTATTTCCAGTCTCCAACTGGCCAGCATTTGGGGGACTTCAGGGTTCAAGGAATGGTCACTGTTTCTATGCTCAAAGAGTGATTTTTTATTTTTATTTATTTTTTTTTTTTTGATTTGGTCTTCCCATCTGCTTGTTTTATTTCTTTCAGAAGGAAGTAAATGAGGAGGTACAGGCAGTACAAGAACAAATGCAACAGTCAGAAAACCTGGCCTCATCAACGAGAGAATCGCAGTTACTGAGAACACAGCTGGAGGAAGAGAAGGGCAAAGTTGCCAATGTGGAGCAGGATCTGGAAGAACATAGAAATAGGCTACTGATGCTGAAGACTCAGAGGCCCATTGAAAGGGTGGAAGAAAAAGAGGTGGTGGAATATTACCGAGACCCAAAACTGGAGAGAGACCTGTCCAAGATGAAGCATCAGATCGAAGAGGAGAGCAGAAAGAGGAACAGCCTGCAGGCAGACATTGAGACAATGAACAGAAAGCTCATCCAGATGGAGGAGGAGGGGAAGGCCATCACAGCCCAGCTGCTGACCAAAGAGGTCACCAAAATCGAGAGGGACCCAGCTCTGGATAGCAAGGCAGCCAGCCTCCATGAGGAAATCAAGCGTCTCCAAAAGGGGAGCTCTGTGGCTGCCTCTGAACTGGAACGGCTCAGGAAAGACCTGTACGTTCTGGAACAGAAGCAGCCCAAAATCCGAGAGAAAGTGGTGGTGAAAGAGGTGGTCAAGCTGGAGAAGAATCCGGAGATGCTGAAAGCCGTCATGACACTGCAGATGCAAATTGAAGAGGAAACCTTCAAGAGGAAGTCGGCAGAGGATGCAATAATCAAACTGAAGAGCAGAACTGATGAACTGGAAAGGCTGATTGAAACAGCAGAGCCCAAAATCATTGTAAAGGAGGTGAAGAAGGTGGAACAGGACCCAGAGCTGCTGAAAGAGTCTTCTCAGCTTAGAACTCTGATTGAGGAAGAGCAGAATAAAAACCTGCTGCTAACAGGATTGCTGGCTGAGCTGCAAAGCAAATACAGCATTGCAGAGAGGCAAAAACCTAAAGTAGAGGTGAAGGAGAGGGTCAATGAGATTTTCCTGGTGGATCCAGAAACCGAGAAGGAGACTGAACGTCTGAAATGGGAACTACAGGAGGTTGCTAGTAAAAGACAAAGGATTGAAAAGGAGGTGGAAGAGGCCTTGCCTGAACTGAACATCCTCCGGTCTCAGAAACCCACTGTGGAGTATAAGGAGGTGATCCAGGAAGTGGTGAAACATGAGAAGAGCCCAGAGATCCTTAGAGAAATTGACCGGCTGAAGGAACAGCTCAATGAGCTGGTGAACACCAATGGCAGGACCCAGGAACAGCTCATTAGACTTCAGGGTGAAAGGGATGAATGGAAGAGAGAGAGGTCCAAGGTCGAAACCAAGTTGGTCAACAAGGAGGTCATCCACTATGAAAATGACCCACTCTTGGAAAAAGAGGCTGAACGCCTCCGCCAAGAGGTTCGCAGGATGTCTCAGAAGAGGAGAGCAGCAGAGGACACCATCTATGACCTACAGAGTATGTACCTGCTGCTGGAGAGGAGAAAGCCTGAGGAAAAGGTTGTGGTGCAGGAGGTGGTTCTGACCCAGAGGGATCCAAAGCTCAGAGAAGATCATAAGAGGCTGAGCAGGAGTTTGGATGAGGAAGTGAGCAACCGGCGTCACCTGGAACGGGAGGTGCAGCAGCTCCGTTCAGTGGTGGAAGAGAATGAGAGGTTGCTTAATTTTCAGGAGGATCGAAAAAAGAGGCTGGCACTGGAAAAGGAGATGAGGCAGATAACCATGAGAATAAAAGAATTGGAAGAAAGCCCCACGCCAGTGCAAGAAAAGATCATTATGGAAGAAGTGGTCAAGCTAGAGAAGGATCCCGTTCTTGAGCAGTCCGCTAGCAGCCTGCGGATAGAGTTGGATGACGAGAAGATGCAAGTTCTGAACCTGCAAAGAGAATGTAAGAGCCTGCAGGTGCAGGTTGATATTCTGCAGAAAACTAAGTCCCAGGAGAAGACCATCTACAAGGAGGTCATCCGAGTAGAGAAGGACAGAGTGCTAGAGAACGAACGTGCCCGGGTGTGGGAGCTGCTGAGCCGGGAGAGGACAGCTAGGCAGAATGCAGAAGAGGAGATACGGCGACTCAGGGAGAGGATCGAGAGAGCTGAAGGCATGAAGAGGACCTGGGCACGGGAGGAAGCAGAGCTCCAGAAAGCGCGGAACCTGGCAATCCAAGAGCGAACCACCCTGGAGGGCGAGCTGAGGGAGTTGGAAAGGCAGAAGCAGCAGAAAGTCCTCTTCCTCCGAGAGGAGTCCAAGCTGCTGAGCCAAAGGACAGAGAGTGACAGGCAGAAGAAGATGCAGCTGGAGCATGAGCTTTCCCTCCTGGAGTCGGATATCCTGAGGGAGAAGGACCAGATTTACGAGAAAGAGAGGTCCCTCCGAGAACTGCAGTCCAGGGTGAACCGGGAGGAAATAAGCCACGAGACCCAGATGAGGGAGACCAATCTCTCCACCAAAATCTCCATTTTGGACCCTGAGACTGGGAAGGACATGTCTCCTTATGAGGCATACAGGAGAGGCATCATAGACAGGAATCAGTATATCCAACTGCAAGAACTGGAGTGCGACTGGGAGGAAATCACTACCCTTGGCCCCAGTGGCGATGTCTCTGTCCTCCTTGACAAGAAGAGTGGGAAGCAGTACTCCATTGAGGATGCTCTGAGGTCCAGGAGGATCACTAAGGAAGAGTGCCAGCTGTACAAAGATGGCAAGATCCCAATCTCTGAGTTTGCCCTGCTTGTAGCAGGGGAGTCCAAGCCACCCCAGTCTCTGTCAATCGGCTCCATTATCTCCAAGTCTCCGCTCTCCTCACCAACCACCCAGCAAACTCAAACCTTCTTTCCTCCAAACCCACAGAAAAGCTTCTGTGATGACAACTTTCCCATCGCTGGGGTGTATGACACTACCACAGACACAAAGTACAACATAAAAACTGCTGTCACCAGGAAGGTGCTGGACCCCATGACAGCTCAAAAGCTTCTTGAAGCTCAGGCAGCGACCGGGGGCATCATCGATCTTCTTTCGCGGGATCGGTACTCTGTCCACAAAGCCATCGATAAAGGGCTGATTGACCGAACCTATGTGCAGAGGCTGCTGAATGCCCAAAAGGCTTTCACAGGCATCGAAGACCCAGTGACCAAGCGGAGGCTCTCAGTTGGAGAAGCAGTTCAGAAAGGATGGATGACCAAGGACAGCGCCTTCCCCTACCTGGAGGTACAGCACCTAACCGGAGGACTCATTGATCCCAAGAAAACCGGTCGCATCCCAGTGGCAGAAGCTGCCCAGACAGGTATGATTACCGATGACCTGGCCAAAATGCTCCGTGACGAGTCTAACTACGAGAAGGATCTTGTCGACCCCATCACCAAAGACAAGATAAATTATAAGGAAGCTATGACCCGCTGCCGGAAGGATGCCCGGAGTGGCCTCTTGCTCCTCCCTGCCACCTCTGAGGGGTTTCAGTCTTACCGCTCAGTGAGCCATTCTCCAAAACTGTCCCGGTTCGGATGGTAGTGTTCACAGATGGACAGACTGCCTAGCATTTAAGGGTGTGCAGTCTTATACTTAGCTACTCATGGGTGCCAGTGACTGGGGCAACCTAACATATAGCAAGGAGGCCGGCGTTCATCAGGGTGGCAGGGTTCTAGCACTAGCCTCTAGATGCTGTTTTGCCAGGAAAGGTGACTCTTTAGAGAAAATGTGCTTCTGATAGCTTCAGATCTGTGACTTCAGATCAGCTTGTGGGGGCGCATATCAGTGCATTTTCAAGTTTGGCCATTTCTTATGCATGCAATAAAACTAGAAATTGTCTCCAGCATGGTGTTATCTGTGAAAACTCAAAAGGTCTCTCTCCTTCAGCATAGGGCTGGCAACCAAAGATCTGCTAGTTGGCAACCCTGCATCTTAAGCACCATATTCCTAATGATTTCAATAGTATTTTTTCACCTTAAAACTGTAGGCCATGGGTACCATTTTCATAAGGGCCTGAGGCACTTGAGAGTGAAGTCGCTGGGATTTAGACTTCGCAACATTGAGTGAATCAATGCCAAAATAGCTCTGAAAATCTGAGCCTGATTGCATTATGTCCCTTTTGTAACTAGGACTTAGGTTCCTAAATCCCACTGGCTTTCTGTCAGTACCACTTACAAAGCTCAGCCTCTGCTAAAATAAAAGAATCCCTTCTTTTGCATTTTGCTATCCAGAGACAATGACCTGCTCTTACCTTGTCCTGCGTGTGCAAGAATCCTGTGGCTTCTATGGGCTTTCCCTCAGCTGGGCTACTCTTCTTCCCATCTACACCATGGGCCCACATACTCTCCACCAATCTTGTATTTAATCTAGTTCTTCCCCAAAACAATTGATTTCAATTAAAGGAGACTGACTCTTTAGCAGTGTTTTGGCATGGGGGGGGGAGTATAACTTGTCATCACATGGGGCTGGAAGGTGGCAATGCAAGGTGAAGCTGACAGCTTGCCAACAGCTAAGGACCCTTTTCTGCTGCTGCTTTCACAAGCTCCTGCTTGGATTCAGATATCTCCTTAGGTTTTACTGTAATGAGTGCTTGAGTCTTGTGAACTGGAGAGAAGGGGTAGAGCAGTTGATAGGCATTCATTTAATGAATGAAATGGTATACTGGTGTGCTAAATGACCCCAACCCCAATGAGCTCATCTTGGACACAGGTTTTAAGACTCTTTTAACACAAGCTCCTTTTCAGTCAGCTTCTACCCCAGCCCAAGCCCACAAGTTTCTCTATCTGGCTTTGATTAGCTGGTTGAAAGACTGCTAGGAACTTGCAGGGCTATGAGAGACCCAATTCCCTTTCTAAAGCAGCATTAGGGTGACTACCTTTCTCTCAGCTGCCTTACAGGGCTTTCTAATCATAAGGCTGCTTCTCCAAGGACACTGCAGTTGCTCCATCATCTCTCAACAGTCCTGGCCGGGTGAGTTTACCTTCAGCCTTTCTTTCAGCTCATCTATGGGAAGGGAGCTAAAAACTCCTGTTCTCGTCACCTCTACCCTGGTCCTACAGTGGCTTGTTGATGGAGCATGCCTCAACTGGTATTTATTTTAAAGCAACGTGGGTGTCGCACAATTATTCTTTCCATGAAGGTTGATTAAGTAGGATTGGGGAACGCTGTGAAATTAAGTGAATGCAAGCTTTGTTAATTAGGTAGTAAATCCTTAATTAATTGCTGTGTATAGGGGTTTAGGGATGGAAGTCATGGGACTTGACTTGTTTGGTCACAAAGAGGCAGTGTGCTGAAGCTGACTGACGCTGTTTTCAGTCCCCTTTGCCAGGGTAGGTTTGAAGCTCATTATTAGCAGGCCTCTCTTGACCCCAGGCATTCCCAATCAGCAGCAGACAGCTTGTGGAACCAGAGTAAAAGCAGCAGCCTCACACTAGCACTTCAGATGTTTCTGTGGGGTCACAAGTTCCCTGCAGCTAAAGACTTGGAAACTATGTGTAAACTGCCCCAAGAAAGAATGGCTAATTTGGAAAATTCAGATCTTCTTGATCCTGAAACCCCCTTTGGGCATGACAACAGCTTCTCAGGTTCCCCACTCAGAGTAACCTGCCAATCACCCTGTCTATCAGGGGGACTACTTGAAAGTGTTTGACTGTCAAGCTGCATTGCTTGATTATGACTGGCCAGATGACTCTCAGTGGTATTGTTTCTGCTTCTGGACTGCATGACTGTGGACATATTTAAAATGTTCAAAGAAATAATTTTTACCAGGAAAACTTGATTGTTCAAATGTCCGTGGAAAGCAGACGGAGCACTGTCCAAACAAACAGAGCTCAAAACTTGACGTCCTGGTTACAAAGAATCCTTTTGCTACAATTCATCCCTATCTACTGAGCATTGTGCCTCAAAAAGCTGGTAGTATATAGAGGAGATGTCACTGAAATATAGCAAAATCCCAACTATGTAACACAAGCTTAGCTGCAGGGTTTTGAGAGCTGCAGGAAATACTTGGCCATCACCCTCTTGTTAACAAAGAATAGACTGAAATGTATAATCCTGAAATGTTGGCAGGTGCTTCCTTGACGTTCTCTAACAATAATGCTTTTTTTAAAAATCTAGTTTTGGAAATGAGAAGGCTTAGGCATCCCCACTGGCTTTTAAATTCCCACTGTAACTACAAGAATTATGGGTGGCTATGTGGAAAAGGTCAGTTGTTCAGTGTTGTTTTTCACTGGAGAAAGATGGCTAATAGCTCCTCCTGGTGTATCACTGCAGTCCAGGCATCTGTTGTAAGTCAGAAAAATGTTGCAATAGAGGGAAATTACAGAAAGACTTTTGCTGCTGAATTTGTTCATTGGAGCTTCTCTGGTCCCCTTCATAAGGGGAAAGAGCAAACTACGGAGCAAAGAAATCATCTGTCTCCAGTGTGTCTCAGTAAATCAGATTTCAATCTTCATTGGCTTATACTAGTTTTCATTGCAAAGAAACCTAGTTCCTTCCTGCAGCTGAACTGCTTGTCCTGCGGAAGGATCTTTAGGTAGCCTCTTCCTGTCATTGTACAACACAATATGGATGACACTGCAGCAGTTACCAACACAAAGGGGTTGGGGAGGGGAAAGAAGAGTGACTGGAGAAGGTGACAGTATATACAGGACCTGACCAACTTTGGCTTCTTTTTCCTTGGCCCATGTGAGCAACTAACCCAACAGAGTCAATGAAACATTCAATAACATTTCTGAACAATCCCAAGTTTTTATTTTTTCGAATGCAGAAGGGAATTCCCAGAACTGCATCCAAAGTTAACAATAAATCTCTTCTGAAAGGAGAATGGTGAGAACTTTTCAAAGCCAAACAGTGGTGTTTCATATGGAACATCTTGCAACAGCAAGAGGAAAATGAGGATTCTCCAAAACTGCATTACTTGACTTTTCCTACTCTTCAAATGCTTTTGACTACCCCTTTTAGCAAGTGGAAGGTCATTCTAGATTATTTTAACAAGGAATTAAAACTCCTAACAACTTAAACCCAGCGACTGATCAATACTAATGAAGCCCATCCTTATTAATAGCGGTAAATGGTGGTGTGCATGGACCACTTGCCCTGAACTGAGGTCAGAGACTTCCTGATGTTTGGAAGCTAAGCCAACAAATCTCTTTGCAATATCCAAACCACAGTAGTGAGTGGGCAGTAAACAGGTGCTGGAGAGAGAATCTACACTGCACTGGGCATTGCTGGCCAAGGGGGACAAGCATCTCAAAGCTAGTCTCTATTGTGAGTCTCCTGTTTTCCCAAGGATGGTGCCATCAGATCTGTCCCCATCACAAGTAACTACCTCACAAAGATGAACTAACATAACTTAGACCAACATTGCTCAGCAACAGGCTGAGAGCATCCAAAAACAAGAACTACCTCTCCCTTTGGGTTTTTGTAAAACGCAGGCAGTTTAAATTTAGGCACTTTCCCTGCTAAGTCACCAAAGAGGGCAAATGTACTGACACAAAGAGCTCTGCGTTAGGATGCAATGCTTTCTACACACCTATGCATCTATCTGTAGCGTCTCTGCAGCCCACATTGGTCTTTGATGTTGTGAGGGCTTTGCTGAAAGAAGTACTGGTGATTCAGGGCTGCTTTGGCTGAAATGCGCCTGCTGGGGTCATAAAGGAGCAATTGCTGCAAAAGAAAAGAGGATATTTTAAAAAATGTTTAACATTATCACAAGATTATTAACATCTTTATACTAAATGCGAAAGCTCTTGAGTACTGCAAGCCTGTGGCACTTCTCCTCCGGCCTCAAAAGGGGGTAGGTAGCCTTTTATGGTGCCTTTTATCTGATGACCCCAGAGGCCTTCATAGGCTTAATCAAATGGGGTAAAATTCCAGTTGAGTCAGATATACTGATATCCCATTTTACAGATTGAGGAAAGAGCAGGTAAGTGATTAGCGTAAGATAATTTAACGGCAGTGTGGAATATAACCTAAATTAGTTGTTCCTCCACAGAATTCCCAACCATCAAAGCACGCTTTCCCAAGTATTTGGAAAAAAATAGATACAATAGAAAGCCCGCTATGGACCAGAGCTATGGCCTCTGCCTATCTGAGTTTAATTAGACCAGGTACCCTGTGTTCCTTTTAGTGTGGCTTGAGCACAAGCAGGGGAAGAACCTGCTCCAGATAAACACATGTAGGCCACGTTGCTACTGTTCTACTATATGGGACCACTGATCAGTACTTTATACATCCCTTCCCACTATATAGCCCCATGACTTTCCATCCAAAAATACCTGACAAAAGAACACCAACTGGTTTACCCACTTGGTCACCTAGCTGGTTCCACTACGTGATGGTAATTTTAGAGGTGTAGGATTCTCTTACTGTATGTTGCCTGAGGGAGAAAAATCTCTTGACCATAGCTTGAGATAAATGCAGCCTTCCTGCAACACATTGCAATGTAACACTTGGCAACCTAAGGCAATAGCTCTGATGCTGAAGATGAGAACAAACTTCTATACAAGTAAAAAATATAGCGCATTTTCCAATGCATGAACTATAGTGACCTTAATAACAGGGACTATAGAGGATAAAATCCACTGCTATCCTAACATTTCTGAGACCTTTGGTTTTAGGTGTCTGGTTTAGGTTTTAGGTGCATGGAGATGGGCAGTAAAATAATTTTAATAGAAGAGATTCATAGATTTTTAAGATTTTAAGAAAGAATGTCTTTACTGTCCGAGCCCCCAAGGTCTGGAATAGCCTGCCACCGGAGGTGGTTCAAGCGCCTACATTGAACACCTTAAAGAGAAAATTGGATGCTTTTCTTGCTGGGATCCTATGACCCCAGCTGACTTCCTGCCCTTCGGGTGAGGGGCTGGACTCGATCTTCCGAGGTCCCTTCCAGCCCTAATGTCTATGAAATCTATGAGATTAGGATTAAGAGACCTTTATGAGCATTAATTGGACCACCTGCATAATGCAGACCATAGCCCTTCGTTCAGTGACTTGTGTATGCAGACTAGTAGAATGAATCCCGTTTCCCAAACTGCATCTTTTGTGGCCAAGAGATTAAACATATAGCAGCAAAGACTGGAGGCAGGGGGAACCCACAAACACAATCTGCGTATGTGTAACTTCAGCCTGAAATTCTATTTTCTCCCATACCTGAAAGGTTTGACATCAGCACCTGCTCCACCCCTTTACCCTGCCACTCACCGCCAACAGGTCTCTTCCATCCCGGTCCAGATTGGGAACAATTTCCTTCATCTCTCTCCTGGTCCATATGGGAAAGTCCCTTTTATAGTCAGGAAGCTGGGTTACCCCTGGCCACGCGGCCTCGGTGGGCGTGCCCAGGACGTGGAAAATCCGGAAAAGCTGGTCAATTTCGGAGTCTCCCGGAAACAAAGCTTTTCTAGTGACCTGGGAACAACACACATTGCTCCTTCATGCCTGTGGCTGCCTTTAAGCAGCTTCCTGATCAGAACAGTATTCAGCTGTGATGGGATGCTCGTAATACCCCTGCTGCGAGGGCTCACAACTCAGGAAGGATGTTGTGACCCTGAAAGCAGTGCAGTAAGTTTGGGAGAGTGAAAGAAGGCTATGCCTGCCTTTCCTCTTTCCATTTCTCCTCCACTTGTTCTTCTTTTCCATTCACATGCGCACACAGACACACTCGTGTGCACACGCACACACACTCTCCTGGTCCCCTTCTGTCCCCAGCACTCCTTCAAGGCAGCTGCCTTCCATGGACAGCTCTGTTCCCTGACAACATCTCCAGCTTCTCTTAGACAACAGCACCTTCTAGCGGTAGCAGCATCTTACTCCCTGTTTCAGGCCTTGCCAGGAAGAACCTGGGTATCTATGGAAGCAGGAAGAGCTAACCCCATGTGGGTGAAGCTCCAGCTCTCTGCAGGCTATGGTGTGACGACCATGAGCACAGGGAAACTGGATCTCTCTAATGCAGTCATCCTGCTGCAGCCAGCTGTTAGGAGCAGGTACCTGAGCAGTGATAATGAAATCCACCATTGCTCAGAAGGCAGATACAGAGCTCACCTGGGGTTTGAAGTGGTACCTCAGTCTAGGGTGACCACCTTTTCAAAAGGGGAAGGCAGGACACGTGTCTCTCTCCCCCCAGCAGTGCCGGACCAGATCTGGGTGGGGTGGGGGCAGATGCAGCCTGCCTGCTGCAGGCTCAGGGCTACCTGCCCTGCTGCCTTTCCCTTGGGAGCCCTATGCTGGCTGCGCACATCCTGTCCACCCAGCAGTAGGGGGCACAAATCCGCTCCACTGCCCTTGATGCTGTTGGGTGGGCAGGGGGCACCTTGCCACGGCAGCATAGCCAGCAGAGGGCTCCTGGGGGGAGAGCAGCAGGGCGGGCATCTGCCCCTGCCCCGTGCACAAATCTGGAAGGGCATGTGCCCCCCATGCCCCCCACCCCCTTGAAGATCTCCATCCTGTTCCCTGCCCCAGTTCCATTAACCGCCCTGGACGGGCAGCATGCCCAGCCCCTGCCTCACTCTCTCCCTCACTGTGGGGGCCTTGAGATGCCCCCGCCCCAATACTCCCTCCCCTGCCATAGACTTACCTGCAGGGAGCTGCTCTCCACATTTCCCAGCTGTATTCCCAGCCATGTGCATGTCTGTGGGCACGCACATGCTTGTGGTGTCTCCTGTGTCCCGCTCCCAGCAGCCCCTTACAGGCTGGAACACTGCCAGCCTGAGAGGGGGAACCCATCATTTCCTGTGGATCCCTGCATGAGGCTGCAAATCTGGGACAAATGCTGTCCTGGAGTCATGCAGCCTGGGATCATGACTTGGGGTTCCCATTGCAGGACTGTTCTGCCCAATTAGGGACGGGTGGTCACCTTACCTCAGTCCTGTACTGGCCCCACACCACGGGCTGCATGTGTAGACACTGCAGCCCTCCTGGTTGCCTTTCTTGTGAACAGAGTGTATTCTGTCTTACCCAGGACAGTGATAAAGGTATAAACTGGACCATTAGGAGTTAAACACACTACCATTTCTGCAAAGATACAGCCAATGCTCCAGATGTCCACTGCAGTTGAATAGTATTTACATCCCAACAAGATCTCTGGGGCCCGGTACCACAAGGTCACTACCTGCAGAAAACCAATTTTCATTGTCAGGCAAGCAAGGTTCCCTGCATTTGGCATAGGCAGTTCCAGCATTAATCCATGTCCTCTCCATCCACGTAAAGGGTCAGCAGGCACATGAACTGTGCAATCAGAGCATGGCATTTAAATGCCCAAACACAAAGGTAATTAATGATAGGCATGTTGGAGGATAATCTATGAATTTCTACAAAATTGGAGAATTTAAACAAAACAGATTAGCTAAGAGGACAGATAGAGACACTGAAATGAGGCACCTTTGATGGGACGGGACCCTAACATTACCTCATGTGTGTAAGTGCGCAAAGGAACTCCGAAGGCTCTTGCCAGACCAAAATCTGCCAGCTTGATGGCTCCAACTTCATTGATAAGCAGGTTCTGAGGCTTCAGGTCTCTGTGAATGACTCGGTGCGAGTGACAAAAGTTCACACCCTGCAGCAGTTGGAACAGGTAGCTCTACAGAGGGGAGATTCCAGACACACATGCAGTTGGACATTGTGGAAGATTTGGGTGTCTTAAATTAGCATCCTTAAAACAGGGGAGTCCTCTAAGCATGTGGGGCAGCACCTCTCTGGAAAACACTGCATTATAGCAATGCAACCTCTGTCAGTCCAACTCCAGTCAGACTTGTTACATGGGGAGTAGGGAATCAAATTTCAGTGGTGATACCAGAGGCACAACCAATATTTCAATGCTGAGCATACTATTAGCAGCTCTCCTGAATACACTTCCACCTTCAGTTTGTGGTCAAACAAGCTGAGAGGATCAGAAGTGGCTGGGAAAATTAATATACTGAAAGGTAATGCCTAGAGGGTTTTCTCTCCTCCCCTGCAAGATGCACCAGGTTTAGTCACCCTGGGTCTGACCTGCCAAGTTAAGACACTGCAGCTCTGAGTGACTTCTGTATTGGAACTGGTCCCTTATGCTGGGAGCTTAAGGAAAGTCTCTAACAAGATCTAACAAATAGCTAAGCAGTTTTGATTCTCACTGGTAGAAGGCAGCAAGTCTCAATACTGCCGACAGGCATTTTGCCCAGGGAGCGCTCCAGCTTCATGGAACGTACCTTGACCAAACTCAGCGGGAGCTCTCCTGTCCAAGATGAGTCCATGTACTTCTTCAAGTCCTGATTCAGGTACTCAAAGACCAGATACAGCTTCTTCTGACTGTGCAGTACATCCAGAAGCCTAGAAATGAAACACAGCTATTGCCTGAAGAGCAGAGCTTAAGTCCTGCTTCTCACACTGACTCTGGTGACATTCCTAGAGAGAGAAGGGGATGAAATCTTCATTTTATAAGTAGATCCTTTTTCAGTCAGGCAGGACACTATTGCCTTTGGCTGCACTCAAGATACCGCATGGGCACCTGCATTCTTTCCCCTCCCTATGCAGACCAGCAGGCATGGGTTTGTCTAAATAGCAGCAGTGGTAAGTATGGAACAGTAATGGTCCAAACACATCTAAGCCACTGGAGCCAAACTGAAGTCATCTGCTGTAGAAAAGGCCATTGGAAATCATCTATATCATTTCTCTTTCAGCTTCTTTTCTTCAGTGACTGACCATAACACAATTGTTCTGGTTTTCCCAGCATCTCCCTGGCAGCTCTCTAACCCTTCCACCTTCCAGTAGCAGCAACTGGTTCGTACATGAGACCAGAGGGCCAGTTCCAATAGAGGTGTTAACAGGTCTGGCTTCAGGGACAGAGCAGCAGCTGAGGAGCTTCTTTTCCCTTTTTTTTTTAAAGGAACTTTTTGTGCTCCAAGTCAAATCAGCCAAATCAAGTCCAAATCCACGAGTCAGTCCAGAACCATAAGTGGCCCTACAACTGGCAAACATCCTCTGCCCCCACCAAGGGCTTCAAATATTTCCAAAATCTTTTGGCGGGCATCCTACGTAAAGGCTCAAGCCCGGAGGCTTGGGGTTTGGATGCCCCCAAGTTTCACCTGCCCTCAGCCATACATACGGCCACAGGAACAAGCTAGCAAGAAGCCTCCCATTTCCATAAAACAGGCATTAAGCCCCAACACCTTGGCAGGTACTAAACCATGCCGGAAGAACAGTTATCCCTGGGAAGCTTAAGAAAAACTGCCTTCTTCAACCCAGATACATGGTGTTTCCCCTGCCAGGTAAGCAGCAACTGAGGAGCTGGGCAGCAGTCGCTGGCAAGATTGGAGGGCAGGGATAGGAATGGTCTGCAACCCATTCCTGCCAGGTGCACGGACAGCGCTGAAAAGGACAGGGAAAGCCTGATGAAGGCAAAAACAAAGCCAGCAGGAAGGGGCATTACCCAGAAGCACCAAGCTGCTGCAGTCCAAGCAGGTCAATCTCAGAGCAGCAACTAGTGCTTGTATTTCAAGCAGGGGGGAAGAGAAACTGTCTGGGAAAAGCCTCTAAGTAATGAGTCTAGGTCAGAAAAACAGGATTGTGGCCAGGCAGTTCAGGGTAATTTTGGCAAGTTCCCAGTGCCCTGTGGGTTGGGAGCCTGGTGCCTTCCATCGACAAACGGTGTTCTGTTTACTTGTGATTGCTACCCCTGATTACAGTTATCTGGAAGCCACAGGTCCTGAAATGGTAGTTCCCAGCCATGCTTTCTGAGGTGCAGTTTTTTTTCTCCATGATCTCAGCAAGGAGACTTGCGTTAACAGAAGGACAAAAAAACTCAAGGAAATTCCCAGGAAGGATGGAAACTTGTATTACGATTCTGAATACAGGGGAAAAAACTGCAGAAGGAAAAAGAAGAAACCCATTAAGCCAACAGAGCTCTAACCTTGCCCCTCCGGGAAACCCCCCAGCTACAAAAAGAGCTGTGAGCTTTTCCACTGCCTTGTATCACGGGAATGTTCCTACAGAACAAGAGGTAATGGTCTCACATTGCAACAAGGTTTTATACAATGGATGACTGGAAGAACTTTCTAACTCTAAGGGGGATTAAGCACTGGACCAGATTCCCAAGAGAGATTCTTCATTATTGGAAGATATTGAGTGGAGGCTGGACAACTATTTAGCTAAGATGATTCTGCCTGAAGTAGGGGGTTGGAGTAGGTGACCTCCTGCGGTCCTTTCCAGCCCTACATTTCTATGATCCTGTAACCCCCAGGGCCTTTCATAGGTGCTTTTATCACTTGAAAAATAATTGCATGCATTGTATAGGTAGACTGTGAATAGAAAATAATTTAAGTGGTGGGAAAATGTCTTGGCACTTGCCTTTTGATAGACAAACCTTTTTACTTGACATGCAGGAGGTGGGGGTCATCTATTTACCACTTCCAGTGTCCTGCTTAACAAAACTGAATGAAATCAGCAGTAGGGAAATCTCATTGCCATAGCCCAAGTAACACAATTCCATAAGCAGACCCCCGCAATGTTTCTCTTGCAGTATATGACAACTGTGAAAGATTGGACAGTGTCTCTTGCATAATAATGCAGGACAGTGGCTGGGGCAAGACTGGGTTGTGGTAACAAGACTGCTGCAAGAAAATCAAACTCCGCTAATGGCTTGCAACCCATTAGATGTCGAGACAGTGGAGTGCTTGTGGTACCCAATACCAGACCCCTGCCATAAAATAATAAAAGTGATGGTTAAAGTTGTTGGCAGTGACCTGACACGCTCAGCACATGCGTCTAGCTAAAAAAGCCAAAGAAAAAGCTGAGCCAGAGAAGGCAAGCAAACTACATGTGTGTGTCAATTGAACTAGCAACTAAAGAAGACAAAAGACTAAATATGCATCTCAAGAGAAACCTGTAAAAGGTACAGGAAGGATGCCCTGTACGTGACAAATGCACCTTGCTCATGTTTCTCAAAACAGGCATCCAGTGTCTAAGGCGTTACAAATGTCTCAACCATTCAATGGATGTCTGGAGTTTGGTAAACAAGCCATCACCAGCACAAGCTACTGCAAATTTGCCCCACTGATAAACAAATACCCCAAAACAGGTCTGGTAATGCCTCTAAGCATCCTGTGTGACCACTCGAGACTCATCATCTGTAACTAACCTATAATTGCAGCGGCTGCAGAGACACACAAGTTTTCACACCTAGGCAAATCCAAAACAGGAGTCAGGCAATTTAGCAGTTGTAATATGATGGTCACCCTTTTCCTTCCTGTTTGTTCGGACTCTAATCAGCCAACTTTCAAGGAAAAATGCTTTGAAGCTATACAATTAAACAGTATAAAGCAAGACAGAACTGCCAACAAGGCATGGGCAACTGGTGCTGCCTTAGTCGGGGGGTTGTGGAGCATGTGCCCCCCAGCGACCAGTCAGCAACCGGGAGGCAAGGGGGGTCCCCCGTGGCCAGTCTTGATGACCTGGGGGCGGGCCCTACAGCCGATCTTGCTGACCAGGGCGGGGGGG